TCAGCAGTATTCTGCTGCTGCTGGTGCTTACTGGAAGTTCTGTGTTTTCTGGAAACGTGTGTGTGAACAAGGAGCTTTGTCAATAATATATGAACTGGCATAACCTTATTTAGTGGGGTGTTCTGTTCCCCTTGTCTCCTGCAAAAAACATTCTGGTTTAGCCCTGTTCTGATTGATTAACTCTAAATCAGGGTGTGATCATGCAGATGGAATCCTTTCTTGCAGAAATGTAAAATTTCACAAATATGTAACTTCTAATGCCAGACCTTAAGAAGATGGCTCTGCTAGGCAGTTGTCTGTTACTTGTATTGGGGATTTTTTGAAATCCCTTAATTTGAAATCAGTTTGAAAGTTTTAGGGAAGATTATCTCTTTTTTTTTTTTTTAAATATAAAATGGCTAACAACTTTCCCCCTTTTAAAAAAAAAAATTACCTGTGTTATATTGAGTTGCTGAAAGACTTTTTTTGTGTTCTATTCTAGAAAGTGAAGTAATAGTACTGCAGTTGTCTAACCTGCTTTATTGCAGAATGATGCCCAGGAGGTTGCTCGTTTGCTTTGCCTTCTGACAGGGATGAAAGTTGACTATTTCTGTGCTCCTCTCTCAGTGTATTGATCCATACAGTGATCATCAGTTGCCAGGCATGCTCTGTGACTCAACCACTCTGAGTCTGTGTTGGTGTTTGTTGGCCTGGACAGTCAGCAGTGCTGCCTTGCCGACGAGGCTGATTTGTTTTGGGTTAGGGTGCCACAGCATTCATCTGAGGCAGCCAGTGCAAGCTTGTGCTTGTTCCGTTTCCAGAGGCTGCCCTGAGCCACGTCACCTCAGGGGAAGAACTTTCCTGAAGGTGGAACCTGTGTAAAATGGCTTGTGCTGACAGTTGTTTTGTGAGAAATGTACTGTACTGTTTTTAAATAGGAAATGGCAAATGGCTTGCAGGAGTATTACATACTCTTGAGAGACTCCTTGCCCTGGAGATTTTTTCTGAACGGAAGTGGATTATTTCTTTATGACCCAGGAAGAGAAAAGAAATTCTGCAGCAGCAGTGTCCATGGACTAGCTTGGGGCAGCAGCATTTTTCCAGCAAAAGAGTCATGAAATTTGTGGGATTTTTGGGAAGGAAGGAGGAGACAAGTAGGCTTGAGCTACTGTTAATTTGTAACTTCTTCCATTTTCTTAGATAAAGCACTGAAGGAGATTGTGGAACGTATTCTTCAAACTAGTTACTTTGATAGCACCCATAACCATCAGAACGGGTTATGTGAGGAGGAGGAGGCAGCGCCTGCGCCTGCAGTAGAAGACACTGTAGCAGAAGCTGGTGAGAGTATGAGGCTGCCTCATGACTAGTATATTTGTCTGTGTTGTACTCTGTTGCCTCTTTGGATTCAACAGAATGATTAAACTGCAGATGCAGTTTGCTTACTGTGAATGCTTAGTTAATGTCCTGATGTTTTTTCTCATCTTCATTCTGAGACACAAGTTTCTTCATCTGCCCTGTAATGTGAGGTTTGTTTCTGAACCCAGCAGATACTTAATTGTATGGGTCGGCAATACTGAGGCTCTAGTTTTAGGTCTAATCAAAATCCCATCCCCTTGGAGCTGTGTAGACAAAGCCACTCCTTCCTCAGTGTGTAGCAAGCTTCTATTTCCAGGCATTAATATCACTCAGGAGTAAACAAATATTTGTTCATTCTTACACCTAGCTGTTTGCTAATAGTCCAGAACGTTTCCTTAAAGTAAATCTTTTTGATAAGAGTACTGCAGAAATGCATCCATCTAACTTTCTATCTTGTAGGTCTGTAGGCTTTTTTCACAGAAATGGTGTATTTCTCTTACAGAACCTGATGCAGCAGAAGAATTCACTGAGCCAACTGAAGTTGAATCAACTGAGGTATCATTCACTGGAAAGACTGTCATTTTGTATAGCTTTAATGCCACTTACTTTTACTTTCATACACTTTCTTATTTTTATTTTAGTATGTAAACAGACAATTCATGGCAGAGACTCAGTTCAGCAGTAGTGAGAAGGAACAGGTAGATGAGTGGACAGTTGAAACGGTTGAGGTAAGATCTTGTGTGCTGCAGGTAAAATTGCCATCCCTGTTTCCGCTGACCCGCAACTCCTGACAGGTTTTAGTGTTGCACCCCTGCTCCCCCAGTACATACAAAAATCCATCTGTTTAGGTAGGCTTGGACTCGCTCCTCATTCTTCAGTTACCTATTTAGCTCAGGAGTACCTACAGTAAAAATGAAGCACTCCAGCTAAGTTGGTGGAGAACTTGCTTTTGTTCCATAGTGGCTTGCTTGGCAAAACAGGGCTTGAAAGTCTTTGGCTTAAAAAGACTTAGTTTTTTGAAGGCCTTTTTTTGAGAGAACTTTGCTGCAAATGTAGAACTGAAGTTCATCTACACAGCTGCTGACAGCATGGCATAGTTGTGTGTTCCATTGAGCAGTTCCATTGAGAGGAAGCTGAAAAAAAATAGTATTGCAACTAATACCTCAACCAGATTGCACATGCACATGATTTGATGGAGAAGTACTCTTGTGTGTACATTGCTGCTTTCAAGAACTATAGTTCAAGTACTTAACTTGTTACTACTCTGCAGTTAGTGATTTCTGTGGTACACTGCTCTTGGGACCCATTCCCAGTTCAGTCCTTAGATGCAAGGCTTCGTGTACTTGTCCATCTTTTTATTATACTAGAATTGGTGGTTTTCACGTACTGGAAAGGACAAGTCAGGTGGAGTCATTCAGGTACTTGGTATGTTGGCACTTGGGTTGCATCCATCTGTTAGGAAAAAGCATGAGCAGCATCTTCCAGGTCCTGGAGATTAATTCTTGATTCCCTCCAGCCCTCTGCAGCAGCAAATTACAGAAGGTTGATTTTTCAGACTCTTTTCCTTGGTGTCTTTAGGCCCTTTTAAGTGTAGGAGTGGAGTAAGTGTTTGTCATCTTTTCAAGTGGTGAAAAAGAGAGCACCCATTTCAGTCTGGTTAGCTGATCTGCCCAATTTCACCTTGTCTAGCTGAAACTCATGTCTTGTAGTGTTGAAAACCACTAAGAGTACTTAAGATGAGTGTGAAGCTTCTAGAACAAACTACACAACTTTGCCTTGTATGTGAATGATTTTTGTAATGTCTTGGTCATAGTACTCCATTCCCTTACTTAAAAAAACCCTAAAATATATCACTGCTATTGCATGTGATTTCAGAAATCTCTCTAAAAATTGAAGATAGCTTCCCAAAACACACATGAAAGTCATACTTGATTGGGATGTTAATACATGACACAGCATTTTAGAGTTAATGCTTGATTGGCATCAGTCTGTCTTGAATTACATCTGTATTTCTACCAAGTAGCTCAGAGGTTCAGTTCTCTGTGGTTCTTAATACAAGTAGTATGAATGAAGAGCTTGGAGTAGGAAATGCCCAGATGGTTGAAGCCTGTTGCACTTCCTCTGCTCTTAAACTGCAAGGCTGGGTATTGCACAGCTGAAAACTCAGGATGCTTCCCCATGGGAATAGTAGTATGTGGTAACTGAATTACTATGGTAAAAAAATTAAGGCTGTAGTTTTATATCAGACTGATTTCAGAAACTCCTAATTTTGCTTATGCCTTTTCCTAGTCAGCTAAATCTGGATTATTTCAGCTTTGTTTTCATAGAACAAAGCAGTACAAAGAATTCTGTCCTTATTCCTTCAACTGGGTACAAATGAGCAATTCAGAAAAACTTAAGGATTGCAGACTGCTTCTTTGTAATGAAGTACCTTATTTTCTAAGATCTAACACAAAAAGGGGAAATAGAGAATAACTGGCTTTGAAATGAGTCCTACTGGCACCAGAATTCCATTTTTCATGGAAATGCAACTGAATTGTCTTTAAGGAAGATGGTGAGAGACGTTGTATAGAGACTTTGGGCTCTTCAGCTCAAGGTCGTTGTGGCATCAGTACAGTGAGAGCTGTAAAGCTTATCATATTTTGGAAGAACATCTATCTCTACAGAAGATTTCCATAATTGTTCAAGAAGAGGGAGGCTGTCAGAAACTCCTTTTTCAGTAACCCTTGAATAGATGTGGTGGACTGAAGATTGCTGTGGTGTGGAATGTTTGTGGCTGGAGAAGTGGTTCTCTCACAGTGACACTTCTGTGTGGGCCTTCCATAGATTTTAAACTAAAGAATTTGCTTGTGAATTTTCAAAGTGTATTTGCATTTTTGGATTTTATGATGTTTGATTTTGGTGAAGATGCCCTTTGTTGGTGACAGTGGGGGTTTGGTTTGTGGGGGCTTTTGTTGTTCTGTTGGGTTGAGGGTTTTTTCTTGGTTTTGATTTACTATGAATTTTAACTGCTTCCTTTGTATTAAGTACCTGTATTTGAACCTGCTTGTATGTAATGTTTTCTGTGTGTTGGAGTGTGGAGTTCCGGTCAGATGGACGTGTTTTATGTAGAATTGGAAACTGTCCTGTGACTGCCTGAATACAGCTTCATTCTGGCTGGTTTGTGGTCTCATTGAACCTCTGGTTCTACCTTTCCTTTGACCCCTGGCCATCTCCAGCCTGTCATTCTCCTCTGCTGGTGTCTGGGCAGCTCTGCCTGCTGGGAAGGTCACGGGGCAGGGTGGCAGGAGGGGAGCATGCAGCTGGAGGCAGATATTACCCTGCAGAGAGGTTCAGCTTTCCTAAAAAGTGTCACCTTGCTGCTCTGCCCCCACTCTCAATGGAGACATATTGTTGGGTGATAATTTGCTTTTTGAGTAATGATCCTTATATTTGAGTAGACTCTATCATGCAGCAGACTTAGAAAGCTGTTAACTAGAATTACATCCTGTCAACTTAATATGTAAAACATGGAATTTTTTTAGTAGTTCCCTCCTACAATGATTATAATAGGTCAGGGTACCTGGTAGTGATAACAAGTCTGAAGGCATATGCCCATCACTGATCCTTCTGACATTAAAAAAAGGCCTGAAAAAGACACTGTAAAATATTAAGCACCATCTGAAGTTAGCACTGTACTATCTGTGAAAAAGGAAACGTTTGGTAAAATTGTGTCCCTGGTCACTCCATCAACTTGTCTATTCAGAATAATTCAGTACCTTCAAGAAAAAACTTTGTAAGTGGAGTGATAGTACTCAAATAATAGAGAATTTGGTTATAATTACATAGGAGATGAATAGCTCCTGGTTTTACCTTTCAAGTTTCACCTAGTCATCTGGCTTGCTTTTTTTTTCCTTTCACTTTAAAACTTTGTGCTGTGCAAGAGATGTAGAAGTGTGCTCTAAATAACATTTTGTGGGAAAAAAAATTCTACTCGGAGGTCTTAATTCTTAATTTGGAAACAGTCCATGACTCACAGGTTTTGGGGACTGTGTGACAGAGCAGAGCAGTTCTGCTTGTTCCCCAGCATGGGCAGCCTTTGGGTGCACTTCCATGAGAACTGTCAAACTGCCTCTCTTTGGGTGGCTGATAGTGGGGATGTGGATCTGAAGGGCATTTTGAAGAGGAATGTAGGTTGTGGTTGGTTTTTAGTTTTGTTTAGAGATCTCCTTAGTGTGTTTTGTTGGTGTTTGGTTTATTTTTTAATTTACTATTTGATCAAGGAGAGAGCTGTTGGAGTTTGAGGCATTTGCATGTGCAGAAATGATCACAGCAGAATGATCTGAGCAAGCAGCAGGCACACTGGAAGATGCTGTAGGGTTTTTGGAGGAATTTTTTTGAGGAAGCACTGCTGTGTGCAGCTCGACTGTCCTTGTAGCTGTTTTCAAGCTGTTTGGTGCTGGATGTTCTCAGGTGCTCATATACAGCTCTCCTGGTTGCTCTGCTGTTTTTGATGAGGAGCTATTTTAAAACATGTTGCTGTTTGCCTTACCTCTGCTTACCTGCGCCGTTTTGGAGTGTCTGGTCAATCTGAGCTTTCTTGCCTGCTGTGCTTCTGTTTTTGGGCTTCTGGTGTCCCTCTGTGGTGCTGTTCTCAGTCTTTCTGTCACTAATGCTGCCTGCTGCTCTCCAAGACCATACATCAGCTAGCTAGGGTAACACTTGAGAACTTGGGTCTAAACATTACTATGAATATGTAAAATTTTGAAGTCTTAAGAAAGGGCCAGAAATTCTGCCTCTGCTTCCATGAACCAGGAAGGTATGAGAAAACTGTTCTCCACCTGTGCATATTTCTGAAACTTAACTTTTCCCTGACTTTTGTTAAATTTCTAAAGGTTGATAAATTGCTATCTCAATTCCTGCTTTAAAAAAATCCCTGTAATCATTAGGTCTGGGTTGGAAGGGACCTTGAAGGCTCATCTGGTTCCAGCCTCCTTGCCATGGGCAGGAACACATTGATTGTAATGTTGAGCAGATTTTGTTAGTGCTCTTTTTAATGGGGGATAGAGTAGATGGAAAGAAAATAGAGCACAGCCTGAACTTCACAGTCCTGTGAAGTGCTTGGATCAGTAGCTGGCCACCAGTATGGCATGACTCTAGGAGGATGTAGGAACATTGTATAGAATTATGTCTGTGATGAGTTAGACAACAGCCGTGCATTTCAAGAGCTACTGAGTCACTTCTGTGCAGTGGAATCTTGAGCTGAAGTTTCAGTTGGTTGCTTGTTTCTTGCTAGGTTGTAAATTCCCTGCAGCAACAGACCCAGGCTACATCTCCTCCCGTTCCTGAACCCCACACGCTCACTACTGTGGCTCCAGCAGATCCTCTGGTGAGAAGACAGCGAGTACAGGACCTCATGGCGCAGATGCAGGGCCCCTATAACTTCATGCAGGTATGGGGACCCACCCTGCTGTGCAGCTAGAACCAAAGAAACCAGCACTTCCTGGCTGTGAGGATTTAGAGTCTGCTGTAGTTGGAAAGATACCATCGTCTTGCAAACTGGCCAAAGCCAAAAACCAGCAAAGCTGTGTTGCTGTCAGAGTACAGTCAGAATGTTACCTAGCTTTCCAGTCCCTCTTGGTACTAAACCTACAGAGAAGGCAGAACTTTGTGCCTCACTGGGAGCTGTAGTATGTTCTGCTTCAGTGAGCCCAGCTGTAAAATACCCCTCCTGTAAGTGAGTTCTAAATTCTGTGTTACAAAAAACTTCTACAGCAGGTGAGGAGAGTTCTTTTTGGGTTGCTTCTTGAAGGCTCTTATAACCTCTAAAGTTAGAACAACTAGAAGAGCATTGGGAGGTAATGGAATACATCAGAAAAGGCCTCTCCTCCTCCAGAAGAGTAGATGCTTTGGTAACAAATGAGGGTTTTTTTGTTTCTTCCTGCAAAGGGCTAATTGAAGATAATAGTTTGTTGTCTATACTGTCTGGCTACTACAATCTCCCTCCAGTTATCTTTTTGCAGATAAGCTCTGACTTCTAAAACAGACTGAATTTTTATTGTGATAAATAACCTTTTTGAAATTTTAATATCTTAATTGATTCAAATGTATGCTAAACCCAAGGGTTTTAAGTGTGGATTAAGCTTCCTTGCTGTGACCTGGTCATTTCTGTATTCTGAATGTTAATATTTACAGAATACAGGAAATTGGATTTGAGGGGATGATTTTTTTCCCCAGGACTCTATGCTGGAGTTTGAGAACCAAACGCTCGATCCTGCCATTGTATCTGCACAGCCCATGAATCCAGCACAGAATTTGGACATGCCACAAATGGTTTGCCCTCCAGGTTTGTAATGGTAAATCCTAAAAAGAAATATTGGGGAAGCCTGCAGGTCACCTGTTGCAAATGCTGCAGTTACTGCTGTGCAGTGAAAGGGTCCTAACAAGTCCTAACACAGTCCTGTTAAGGTGTGGTTTTCTCAGAAATGTGATTGTGCTTTTGAAGCATGTTTGTAGACCTCAGATTCTCACTTGCTTCTAGGCTTTGCTTGGAAGTGTGGAACATTTAACTTTACTGGGCAAAATACAGTTTTGCTTAGTCTTGGAAATTGCTGGATTATCTTGGAGCAACTAGAGAAAAAGTACTTTGCATGGAAATGGTAATTTATATTTTGAGGGTAGCTTTGCTGTGCTAAAGGACTAATCATCTTTATGATGATCAGCTCTCAAATAACTGAATTGGATAAGATGGTAATGCTAGTCTGTAAAAGGTTTGATTGAGCTGTATAATAAGTGAAATTATTTTACTTCAGTTCATGCTGAGTCAAGACTTGCCCAGCCCAGTCAAGTTCCTGTGCAACCAGAAGCTACCCAGGTAAAATGTTTAGTAAGTTGTATTTTTTATTTAAAATTGATTTTAAGCTTGATTGATGTTGTAATAGGATTTAATTCCTAACTATATAAGAAACTCAAAGAAGAAGCTGAAGTTCTGATCCTGGGGAACTGGTTATCTCCACTATCTCCTCAGCACTGTCATTTGGAGGCAGTACTGGATACAGTTCTTAGGCAGTTTGACTTGAGGCTTCGCTGTGCATTCTGTTCAAGGTGGACTAACAATTTGACCCATCACTCTTTGCTTAGTAGGATTCTCTTTCCTGTGAGCCATGTGTAGTGATATTTATAATTTAGGTGGAAGCAAGTTGTCCTTTATCTGCGTATTTGCAAATAACTTGGTTTAAAGGCAGTCTGGTCGGGTGGGCATCAGACCACAGCTAGATTTCATAGATTAAACAGATGGTTTGTGTTCTGGTATTTCACTTGTTCTGTTAAGGATTAGTCCCAGTTGCTTGCTTGGGTAGTATTTTAATACTGAAGTTGCAGAGCAGTCAGAATGAGCCTGGATACTCCAGTAAGTTTTTTTGTTTCCTTACGTCAGCCACTGCTGCCAGTGATTCTCTTGGGAATCTTGCAAGCAGTAGCTAAACTTACCTCTTTCCTTTTGAATGTTCAGCAAGATGATGGTAACACAACCATCAGTGGTTATCAGTTGCCAGTAGCCTTAATGCAGAGTCCTCTGCTTTGCTGGCTAGAGTTTTCACTGGACTCTGTAGGGGAGCAGGGGCTGCAAAACGAGCAAATTCAGTCCATTGGAAAGCAGTGTTTCTCTATTTCTGCATGAGCTTAGAG